ATAATGTTGTGGGTTGCTGCATAGTGGGAAATTGTAAAAAGGGAATGCTGAGTTAAAAAGGTTGAGAACTACTGGTGGTCTGTTTAGATGCAGGCTGTAGTCTCCCTACCCCCCCCCCCCCCTGTTATTCATGTGCAAAACATTTGGCTTGTGTAATGGATGTGACCTCTTTCTCTAGATGGGTGAAGAGCTACCAGAGAACAATAATACCACCAAGGCTAGTAGTAAACACAGTAAACTATTCCACTTCCATGAACACAGCAAAAAAAATCTGAGATCTTCAAGAACATCTGTTGGGGCAGTATTTTCAGAAAAGGAGAAACACAGTGTTCAACATTTAGAGGAGATGGTCCAGGCTAGAATGGAAAGTTTAGGTTTAGCCAACAAGTCTGAACCTTGTAAGTAAATTGACTGCTACCTAGTGGATAAATATTGCTTTCTTATACAAGGCCACATGACTTTCAGTAGATAGGCTTTTCCCTTAGGTGACAAGGATTGTTTGAGAAATGGCCTTCGAATTAATTATCATATTGCTTCATTAGATATGTCTTTAATAGTGTCACATTGCTGATCTGATAACTTGGGGGAAAATGTCATAATCTACCTGTTGGCCAGTAGGTCTAATTTTAGGAATAGGTTTAGGTGATTTTATCTTGACTCTGTAAATAATAATTTTATATTTTTGATGAACAAAGAAACTTTCACATCACTAAAATATGTGTCAGTGACTAGATTGAAGCAGACACATTGCTCTTGGTGATATTCTTGCCCCTACCCCTGTTTCCAACATGAACATGCTCTAATGTTTCTACACTATGACACAGATACCATCAAAAAACCACCAAAGACTCTGTCATATGTTATTGTCAACCCTGCAGCTAACAGAAAGTTGAAAAGTGGTGATATAGTGTAAGTATCACAATACTAGATTCTGCAAAAAATGTAATAGTGTTTTAATAGGCATGAGCCATTCTAGTAAAAGTAAAGTTCCCCTTTCAGACCAAAACACTAGGCATGAGCCATTCTAGTAAAAGTAAAGTTCCCCTTTCAGACCTTGTGGTCTATGGGGCAGATCTGTTTCTGTGGCTTCCGGTTAACAAGGGTGTCATGTGGCCAGCTCAACCACCAACTGACTTTACTTTTCCCCAATTAATGTTGGGTACCTATTAGAGCTGGGTGGACTCAGAGGTGCTCGAAGATCCCAAAATTTAAAATACCAGGATTTGAGCCCAGGATCCCTGGTTCAGAAGCCAGGCACTTAAAGGCTCAGCCACTGCACCTACTAGCATTCTAGCAAAACCTATCTAACTGAAGTAAGTAATATGTACTAGCAACACTTGTAGAGACATTGTAACTAATGGTCTAGGTTGTGACTTGTGTGCTTGCACCAATTTAGGACACCAATTGTTGTATGTAGCTCCAGATAGCTAGTACAACTAAACCCATGTTGGCATATTCAATTCTTAATATAGAGCTTAATAAATTTGAGAATAATGTTTATGTATAAATAAACATAGATTCAACTTGAAACGAAATATAGATCTAGTAGTCAGAAAATAAAAAGGTATTTGAACCAAATCTAACTTACTACTAAAATAAAATGATACTGTGGGCCTTAGTTTTAGTATTACTGATCTACTTGATTGGATTTAGATCTATGTCAAACATGGAGAATATATAAATAAAAGTAAAGTGTGAAAATGAGTTTTCCCATTCAGCTGACATATTCATATAGAAAATAAAATACTGTGAAAACGGGTTGAACTGATTGGTTCAAAAGTTTCGTTCTTTAATAGAGAATACTATTAGACACTTTTTGTTTATTTTAAGGGTCCGCCGGTTGTGGGGGGACAAACATACACTTGTTATATTCACTATTGATTTTGTTTCAACAGCTATGTCATTCAACCCAGTTCAATGCAAGCAGTACCCAATAAGTTGAACAGGAGCAGCAGGACTATGTCTAAAGCTTTTCGCAGCCGTCACATAAGTATTAACACGTCAAGCATTAACAGGGCAGCTGGAGACAGCAGTGGGTCACCAGGGAGCCCTGTTGTTCCCCTGGAATACCCCCTGATCTCCACCCATGCTCCCCCCAGCAGATACTCCTTAAAACCAACTAATGTTCTGGTAGAAGTCAAGACCAACAGCGACAAAAATATTCTGAAAGAAGAGGATGAGTTTGAACCAATGGAGATGAGACCTAGATGTAGGTCAGATTCCCATGCTGACAGAAAGTGTGGAGGGTTTGTACCCAAACAAAATGGCCAGGAGTCGCAGATGTAATGAAACCTGGAATTCCCACAATCAGTTCATTTCAGATCTAGGAAACTTCAATTTGCATTGCATTTATATAACATTGATGTGTACACAACTCTGATTGCATTTATATATACTGAACTATGAGATATCCGTTGGTTTATGCATTTATTATTTGCTGCTGTCCAAACTATTCTCCAGTAGTTGGACTCTACACAAGGTCACTTTGTTCTCCACACCAATGATAGATAATATATTTGTTTTGTTGACTTTGGTTGTACAGACATGTTTTGCTCACTATTTGTTATCCCACTACAGAGACTCTACATTCCTAGTTCTCTTGAGAGTCTACAAGGACAGTCTTTCACTTATAAGCACAAATTTTTATTTACATAATCTCTTGTCACCACCTAGTGCATAACATACCAGCTGAGGATCAGAACCTAGTGCATTGTCCTCAGTACATACAAGCTTAGGATCAGAACCTAGTGCATTGTCCTCTGTACATACCAGTTGAGGCTCAGAACCTAGTGCATTGTCCTCTGTACTTGCCAGCTGAGGATCAGAACCTAGTGCATTGTCCTCTGTACTTACCAGCTGAGGATCAGAATTTAGTGCATTGTCCTCTGTACATACCAGCTGAGGATCAGAACCTAGTGCATTGTCCTCTGTACATATCAGCTGAGGATCAGAACCTAGGTTCAATTTAGATTGTACTTTTGTGATTGTTGCCTTATTCTGATTGCTTGTTTTTAAAACTTACAGATTGTGTGAATGTTTAGTGAGAATTAAAATATGGTTAAAATATTTGTTAACTACAAGATCATGTATTTGTTTGAATTCAATCAGTTTCCAATCTGTGACTAGGGCACAGCCAGGGAAGGAGTCCAAGTAGGAGAACTGCTTGTCATAACACCAGCAGCCTAGTTCTACTCACCAAAAGTTTGAGTGAAACTGTTTGAGTGCAAGCAGTAGTTGAATAGAACTGGATCAAACCCTAGTGCACAATGTGGGCAACAAAAACAATGAACAGTTAGTTTAAAGCAGACACAAGTTTTGATTTGGACACAGCTCCTCACATTCTAGTTCATGACTTCTAAAATATCACCATGTCAATTCTGAAGTTGTTCACAATTTGTTCATACATTGTCTAAACAAAACAAAATCTTGGTAGCTCTGCTAATAAAACTCATAGAGGCAGGGGAAGTCATCTTTATGAATGTGTTGACAAAATGTCTGTACTAATTCTCTCTCCTCACTACTGTACATCATCTTCTTGGGCCATGTGATGATGTCACAACCAAAACCTTTAGGTTGACTTCTTGTGTTGACTTGTTAGGTTTTGATAGAAGTATTAAGTTGTATAGAGGCTCTACTTTAAAGCCATATAAAAGGCTGCACTTCCTTAATCTTTAATATGCCGTTATTATTTACATGTTTTAAAGTTGTATTTACATATACAGTTATAGATATGCTTGTACTTGTAGAGAGTCAAGCTGTTCTATTGTCCATTCAATGCATAATAAATGTAGCTTCACTACATGTTCTCTACCTTCACTACATCGTCTCTACCTTCACTATATGGTTTCTTCCATCACTACATGGTCTCTACATCTTTCTTGCAACTCTGAAGCAAATATTTGCATTGTTTTTCTTCCCTTCATACTCACACACACACTGTGTCTAGGCACATTGAAGCTCTTTCACTTTGTATACAGATTTTGTGACATTGTTGTTTGGATCATTCCCTGAGCCACAGATGTATCACTCCTAGAGGATTGTAATCTCACCATTCTCTAAGAAATGTAACCATAAATTTGACTGATTGATATAGCCACACTATTCAGAATGGATCTAGCCACACCATTCCCTTACAGATCTAGCCACACCATTCCCTTACAGATCTAGCCACACCATTCCCTTACAGATCTAGCCACACCATTCCCTTACAGATCTAGCCACACCATTCCCTTACAGATCTAGCCCCATTGAGGGATAGAAGAGTTGACTTCCCCCTAAAACTATTTTGTGTTTTACTGTTTTGTGTTTTGTCTTCCATTTTGCATTAAATTAAATCTTCACAGTATTCACTCCAAGAGACAACAAACTGAAAGTGTGTGCTTAGATTTCATACTCTGTGTGTGTGTACAGTAGCAACAGAATTAGTTTGCTTAGGACTATCATGTCAACAGAATTATCTAGGGTTTCATCAGATCTGTCCTGTTTACAGAATTAACTAGGGTTTCATCCAATCTGTCCTGTTTACAGAATTAACTAGGGTTTCATCAGATCTGTCATGTCTACAGAATTATCTAGGGTTTCATCCAATCTGTCCTGTTTACAGAATTAACTAGGGTTTCATCCAATCTGTCCTGTTTACAGAATTAACTAGGGTTTCATCAGATCTGTCATGTCTACAGAATTATCTAGGGTTTCATCCAATCTGTCCTGTTTACAGAATTATCTAGGGTTTCATCCAATCTGTTATAAGATCTGTCATGTCTACAGAATTAACTAGGGTTTCATCAGATCTGTCATGTCTACAGAATTACCGAGGGTTTCATCCAATCTGTCCTGTTTACAGAATTAACTAGGGTTTCATCCAATCTGTCCTGTTTACAGAATTAACTAGGGTTTCATCAGATCTGTCATGTCTACAGAATTATCTAGGGTTTCATCCAATCTGTCCTGTTTACAGAATTAACTAGGGTTTCATCCAATCTGTCCTGTTTACAGAATTAACTAGGGTTTCATCAGATCTGTCATGTCTACAGAATTATCTAGGGTTTCATCCAATCTGTCCTGTTTACAGAATTATCTAGGGTTTCATCCAATCTGTTATAAGATCTGTCATGTCTACAGAATTATTTAGGCTTTCATCAGATCTTTCATGTCTACAGAATTATCTAGGGTTTCATTAGATCTGTCATGTTAACAGAATTATCTAAGATTTCATTAGGACTAGAATCTCATCTTCAGTATTAGCTAGGGTCTCACTAGAACTATCATATCTCCAGTATTAGCAGGAGTTACATTGGCAGGTTCCAGTAGTAACAAAGTTCATTGTGTGATTTGTCAAGGTTTTTGAATTTTGATGATGTAACTTTCAAATAATGTCTGACTCCATCAATGAAATGTAGTTTGAAAAGAGTTGTACATTTAGTACACACACCAACCTGTGTTGATATTCGGAGTACCAAATGTTTCGTTTGCTTGACCTGCAATGTCCACACAATTTTTTTTTAAATCTTAAAGAAATAATTTGTTAAGGCAGGATACTGAAAGACATGCAGATGAACTGACCGTGTAGAACTGACCAGTGTTGAGATAAACTGACTAATGTGTTGAACTGACTAGTGTGATGTGACTCAGTGTCATGTAGACACTATTTAATCTGCTTTCTTTGAGAAGAACTGAACTATCTATGGCATTGTCTTAAGTTTAGATCTGACAAGAAAACTCTCTATACAGTCAGCATTACCACTTATGCATTTAATGTGAAAGTCTTTAGAGAGAAACATGTTATTCAGCTTTAGTTAGTGATGTTTGCTTTTGTTCCATGTTCCCCTGTTCAAGTCTTTAGTTAGTGATGTCTACTTTTGTTCCATGTTCCTCTGTTCAAGTCCTTAGTTAGTGATGTCTATTTTTGTTCCATGTTCATTAGTTGTTTTTTTTAACTTAGCCATCCAGTTATGTTAGTTGACTTAGACATTCAATTGTATAAGTTGACTTAGACATTCAGCTGTATAAGTTAACTTAGACATTCAGTTGTATAAGTTGACTTAGACATGCAGTTGTACAAGTTGACTTAGACATTCAGTTGTATAGGTTGACTTAGACATTCAGTTGTATAGGTTGACTTAGACATTCAGTTGTATAAGTTCAAATGGCCAGTTTTCTTTGTACTCAACTCTTCAGTTGTAGGATTTATTCAGCTCTGAACAATCAAGCTCTGATTAAGGAAAGTAAATCATTTTTTGTCTTGGCTCTTGGCACTTCATTGACAGGCAAATAGCTCTAGGACTAGTTAGTGGTTATTCTCTGATCTTAGCACCTGGTGCCTAATGGAGCTATTGTGTGATCTTGTGACTTGATGACCTGGTGCCTAATGGAGCTATTGTGTGATCTCCATAGTTAACCATCATGGCCTGATGTTCAGGTGTTCCTTTCTGTTCTTCCAGTTCTCTCTGAATGCATTCCCTCTTCCACATGTTCCACTCTAAGCACAACATCCTCAATGTGTCACACACACACACACAGTGAGAATCAATCCATCTGGTAACAATACTCTTTCATTCATCTCATTTATTCTCTAAAGATGATGTCCCTTTTGATGTCATCTGTAGTTCATGGCTTTTAGATTGGCATCTTCTTTAAAACACAAATAATTGTATTACTCAAATCAATGCATTTGTATAGAGACATACTCCTATGCATACATACAGATATAAATATATATTGACATATTTTTTTATCTAATTTTTTTTAAATATTTTATTTGTTGTCAGATTGTTATTTGTGTCAAAACTTGGTAGATAAAGTGTTGCCATGAAAATAAACATGCCTCCCCCAACTAGACACACTGTTGTCTGGAATATAGTGCACTCCCTTAATAATTTGTTTCAGTTATGTAATGTGAGTCAATTAGGATTTGAACTAACTTCAACATAAGATGGACTTCTCTTCCTAACCCAGTCAGGCTCCTAAACTTTCTCTCATGTTGGCATCTGTCTCTGAAATGCAATTAACTAATGTGTGAGTGTGTGTAAAAATAAAGAGAAAAGAGACTAACAGGAACACCTTCAAGACAGCAACTTGTTAGAGGTCAAACATTGAACACTTTCAAGACAGCAACTTATTAGAGGTCAAACCTCTAGACTTATTGTTTTGCTTGTTGCATTGAAAATTGTTGAGTGCATGCTAGTGTTCTATTAGTTGAGTGTTTCTAGAAACATGAATTCTTTTGTTTTTTTTAAGTAGACCTTTAGTTCGTACAGTCATTTTGCAAACAAATCTAGAACAGGTGGTTGTTGTTTTTTTCAACCAATAGGCTATAATGATATAATTGCTTCAGAATAACTTCATCCCTAGTGCATAGAACTTACATAAATCTAAGTATACTTTATCATTTTACTAAATACATGTCTAGGCCTAGCATACCCTATCAATTTACTAAATACATGTCTAGGCCTAGCATACCCTATCAATTTACTATATACATGTTTAGGGCTAGTAAACCCTATCATTTTACTTAAGGTCTGGGCTCAGCATGCCCTATCATTTTATTAAATGCGTGTCTAGGCCTAGCACATCCTATCATTTGTCAAAGACTGTGTATCTAAGCCTAGCATTCCTACAATACTGTTAAAATGTTTGAAATATATTTGATCAGTCTTTATGGTTGTTGACTTTACCCCAGGGATACTTAAACAAGACTTACACATCTTGTATATCATTAGAGATCTCCATGATAGTTAGTCCAAGACCTGTCTTTACATTATGATGTTTGATCTAAGACATGTCTTGTACACTATGATGTTGGATGTATAAACTATTTAAGCAGAATGAAAATAATTGTTTGTATATAAATTGTGAAGTGTCAATAAAAAAACATTTTTATCAAATATATAGAGCTCTGTGTTGATTGGTGGAAACTTCTATTATACTCAACTCACTGGACACAATGTCAGTAGATTCTGGGAGAACCAGATTTGTTAATTTTTTTTTAACAAACTTAATTCATAATGAAACATGTCATAGCATATTTAGCATGTGCTTAAATATGTAATTTTGTCACGACACAGAAACCTGTGCAGACTGGATGTGTTAAGAAACTTGTACAGTCTGATTAGATACCTGTAAAGACTGATGTGTTCAGATACCTGAACAGAATGAGTTTAGAATGTTCTGCAGACTGAGGTATGTAGAAACTTGTACAGGCTACGTGTATTTAGACAAGCTGCACTGACTGATATGCTGGACTACTCAACATTTTTACTAAGACACAAATACACTGCTTCAAAATTGAAAAATAGACAACAATGTTAGCGTCAGTCAATGGTATGAAGGACTGCCTACACAGTAACAATGTTAGCGTCAGTCAATGGTATGCAGGACTGCCTACACAGTAACAATGTTAGTTTCAGTCAATGGTATACAGGACTGCCTACACAGTAACAATGTTAGTTTCAGTTTCAGAGGAATACTGTGTGTGCCAGATGTGCTGGAGAGGGTCATGAGGTCAAGGGCTGCACAGCCCAGCTCAAATCGTCACGCTGGCCCCTCAGCCTACTCCAAGGACTGCCCTGTGTGGAAACAGGAGATTGCCGTGCAGGAGTACAAGGTAAGAAATGGATGTACCTTCAGCCAGGCGAAATCTGCTGTATTGGCCCTACCTATGGGCCAATTCGGCTTGACAAAGACCTACGCCCAGGCTGTGGTAAAGATAGGGAAATCCATAGCCACACAAAGGGTCACATTGACCTAATCACCCTTCCTCCAACTCAGAAGAAGACACCTCCGAAGAGAAAAGGAAGCCTTGTTATCATGCTAAAGAACAGGTTCTCTGTGCTGGCTGATGAGAGCATGTAGACTGAGCAGCATGTCAAAACCAACACTCCGGAAGAACCCGGAGAGATTATGTCTGACATCCAGACACCTTAACCTTTACTGAGTTAGAGGTTGACCAACTCCCTAAGGGGAGTAATGAAATTAAAGAAGATAGCCGAAGTGAGGGAGGAAGAAATAGTCTCCGCTCTAACCGAGAGATCTCCCCTCTCCACAGACTTCCCCCAAAAGAGGGGGTGTCCTCTCCTTCCAAACCCAAGTTTAAAAATACAAAAGTGACTGGAATAAAGGGAAACCTCTCCGGGGGCCTCCCAAGGCCTAATAGCTCCTATAAATAAGTCATGGATTCCAGGATTATGCAGTGGAATTGTAGAGGCCTTAAGGCCAATTATGAGGAAATGCAGCTACTGATGGACTCTGAGACTCCTGTAACTGTATGCTACATGAAACATTCCTGAAAGATAACATCAGTTTCCGAAGCTACAGCACTTACAGCAGGACTGTTGAGGATGCGGGGACAGTATCAGGTGGAGTCTGTATCCTTGTGAAGGACAGCGTCCCCCATGAGATGTGTGACAGGTTAGGGAGTGTGACGTGTGTTTGGCTGGTTAAATGTCTAGGGGATGATTATTTTTGAAATTATCACACACCAACCCGTCAGCATATAAATCGGGAGCAGGCACGCAACGAGACAAGCAATGAGAGATACTAATTAAGAGTTGAAGAATATTTATTAACATAAATATTTACATAGAATAATAAAAAGGGGGAGGGTTTGCATCTATCTCTAATCAATACTATATTTAATCATCATTCTTGCACTTAATAAGAGAGTATGTCACTTTGTCTTCTGAACTTAGCTGGTTGTCCTGTTGTGTCGCAGCTGGTTCTGATCCTGGCTTGAGGTTCTGCAGCTGGAGGTGGCGCTCTAGCGGGTAGAGGGACGCCGGTGATACAGTTCTTGTGGAGTCTCAATCCAAAGTTCTGATATCTGTAGTGGGCACAGTAGGGCGGGTGGCCGGCTACAGTGGGCACAAGAGTACTGTGGGCAGAGCTGATCTGCCGTGGGCGCGTAGTTAGCAGGATGTCCAGTGAGTTGCGGAGGGTTTGGCGAAGCTATGACGTCTCGCACAGATTCTGGGTCTATAGGGACGTCGTACCTAATAAGTTGACAAGTGGGCTGTCGAATATGCAGGCAAGTAGAGCCGATAGCGCCAAGTAGTAGAGTTGAGTAGATCCACGTAGGCAGTAGAGAAGTGCTGAATAACACTAAGTACGAAAGCAATAGGCAGTTGGCTAGGCAGACAATGCCAAATAAATAGGCAGACACCTGAGGCAGGCTGCGGATAAATAAAGACAAGTTGGGACATGTCTCTCACGCATCTTATCGATGCCCTCGACTGAGGTGCATTCGTCAGATTGGAAAATTGCTTTTGAGCACAAAGGGGAGATGATGACAAATGGGATTTGGAAAACAGATGGCTGATAGTAGCAATATAAAAATGTACATAAAAAGGGGAAATAATAATCTCAAACAACACAAGTTGGAAAGAGAAAAAAAAAAGGGGGGGGGGCGGAATGGGCGGTGGTCAGGGACCGTGACGGTTTGTTTACATACGACCGTCGGCCGAGAACAATGGAGTGCGCTTGAAAGGGGAGTGTCCGTTCAAGGGGCGCAACTCTCGTGAAAGTAGAATGACTAAAGGGGAGATAATTCATATCTCTTTTCTAAGCGCAGTATTAGTACGCTAGTAAAATTATCAAGGTGGTCAGCCGAGATAAAGGGAATAAAATAAGATGTACTTGGTTGCATCAATGATCAATTCAGCAACGTAGCATTAATAGATTAATGCAATATATAAATATACACATATGCCATGTTTATGTTTTCTACTTACGACAGTGAGAAATACACAATGCACTAATTAAATGTAAATGAAATATTAAAATACACATGATTATGTCCAGTGAGAAATATGCACAAAGTAATTAAGATGGAACTTGTGAATAAGTTCGGCTTACCACCAGGTATTCCTCTAAGAGTAAGAATGTATGAAATAGTCCAGACTCGATTGCCAGCGATAGAGAAATAAGCGGATCTGGCTTGATTTGATCTACCTTATAAAGGCCCAGAGATATGGGCGGAAACAGGAAATGTCCTAGGCTTAAGATTGTCTCTCACGTGGGGTGAACTGACTCGAGATGGGAGTCGCACCTTGGAGTGTCGAGGGGCGTGTTGACCCGAGTAATCTCTTTGATCAAAAAGAGACGTGGGAGAGGAGGAGGAAGAAAGATTGCCTTGCATTCCACCCAAGGTGGTGTCAACTGCGGCCGTCAGACATCCGGCGGGTAAGATCAAAGAGACCGTGTATTTATCTTTCCCCGATCAAGGGAGATAAGTGAAAGCCTTGGTCTAGTTGTCCCAAGGTGGTCGACTAAGAAGAAGAGGAAAAGGTGGGGCGGGTAAGGAAATTGGGGATAGGACGGGGAAATAAATAAATAATAATAATTAATGCTGTGATAAAATAGAGTGACTCTGACAGCAAGCTTTTGACTTGTCACAAGATGGTAGAGCTACAGACAAAACTACAGGCTGTAGCAGCTAGGATAACCCTACACAAGGTTATCACTTGCTGCAGCCTGTATCTACCTCCAGGCGCTCCATTAAGCCCAACAGACATAGAGAACCTAATAAAACAACTCCCTCGGCCCTATGTAATCCTTGGGGATTTCAATGCCCATAACACTATGTGGGGATCCAACAATACTGACACAAGAGGTCGTAGGCTGGAGGGTATCTTACTCCAACATGATTTATGCATACTTAAAAATGCATCACCGACCTACTTGCACCCAGGAACTGGATCTCTTACATGCATTGACCTCACTTTATGTGTCCCCGGACTTCTAAATGACTTTAAATGGTCAGTAAGCAATGATCTACGGGGAAGTGATCACTTTCCAATGATCATTGCTAACAATCTCCCCTCATTGGGACGACCTCAGCGGTGAAAGCTGAATAAAGCCGATTGGAACAATTCCAAAAAAAGATGCTCCGAGGATATCACAGAAAGTATCCTAAATGAACAGAACCCAGCTGATACCTTTGCTAGCAAGCTACTTAGTATAGCCAGGAAAGTTGTTCCCCTAACCTCCGCAAATCCAAAACGGCCTAGCAAACTATGGTTTGATACAGCTTGCAAGAGTGCTATTGGCGACAGGAAAAAACGTCTGGCTGCATTTATAAAGAATCATTCCCAGGAAAATCTAAAGCTATTCAAGATAACAAGAGCGAATATTAGACAAACAAAAGTAATTCGTGGAGAAATTTAGTCAGCAGCTGGATGCCAAAACTTCTGCTAGAGCGGTTTGGAAGGCAGTAAGGCGAATCAAAGGGAAAGAATCAAATGCAATAGGGCATTTGAAAAACCAAGGACGAACTGTCACGTCCCCCTGAGATATAGCTGACTGTCTTGCATCCTCAATAGCAGATAAATCACCCACTGCATAATACACGCCAGAGTTCCAAAAAGTCAAAATCAGGGAGGAAAGATTTTAAATCAGAGAAGAACTAAGGGACTCGCTGGACAAATCTCATGACACAGCGCCAGGAGAAGTTGAAATCCATTATCAGTTCCCCAAGCATCTTCCCGAAACCTGATTGGCAATACTGCTAAAAATCTATAACTGTATATGACAAACAGGCGCTTTCCCAAAACAGCTGGAGGAAAGCCACAGTTATACCGATACCCAAACCGGGAAGAGGTCTGACCCAGCTAACTATCGACCAATAGCACTAACAAGCTGTATCTGCAAAACCATGGAAAGGTTGATAAACAAAAGGCTGGTCTGGTACCTTGAGAGAAATAATGTAACCTCTAGCTACCAGTGCGGATTCCGGCAGGGGCGGACAACAACTGACCACCTGGTAAGGCTGGATGCTTACATCAGAAATGCATTGCTAAGACGAGAACATCTAGTAGCTGTATTTTTCGACATAGAAAAGGCCTACGATACAACCTGAAAACATGGCATTCTACGTGACCTGGAGCTAATG